AGAGACAAATATTGAGTTATGTCTTTTTGTTCTTCTCAGTTTTGGTGATGATATCCCCGGGATGGAAGGTTTAGGCACAGGTGAGTTAACTCCTTAAATGTTTTTTAAGTTAGTCTCTATGCAATGCAAGAGTATGACTGAGCTTATAAATCTTTTTTTTTGTTTCTGCAGACATCACCGTCATCTGCCCCTGGGAGGCCTTCAATCACTGGAGCTGCACGAGCTGGCTCAGTACGGTATCATCTGAGCCGTCCTGCTCTCCCTGTGATGTTCCGAGGATTACAGGCCACATCCCAGCACTCACACTAGATCTGCCTCGGGCCTCATCTCGCAGCTTTAATCCAAAAACCCACAGAAACAAACTACCACATTGCACCGTAACAAACAGAAAAAAATGGAAAGAGCAAAAAAAAAATCTGCAAAAAAATCCATCCTGTCATTCTTCTCTTGATCTCTTCTTCTGATTCTGCATTTTCACATAAATAATCTGCTAATTTTTAAGATCTTTAGCTTTCATCTTCACCAGATCTGCACAGTTACTCTGAGCTTTTTCTCTTACTTTAATCTTCTTCTTCTCTCTTCTCCTCTTTTCTAACTGTCACAACATACACGCATGCAAGGCAGCCTCAAGTTGAGTTTAAGTGACAAACCCGTGAAGAGGTTGGGTTCCTTCTTCATGTGCTTTGAGGGCCTCTTTTACCATCTCAAAGGCTTTTCCATCAACACTGCAGATATAATAACTGATACTGTAGAGAGTGGACGACATTTCAGTGAGATAACGTTCATAAATCATGATCAGATATCCCTCTTATCCCTTTGTTTGGACAAAAGATGCTTCACATAAATCTCCTTCTGATTTGTCTTTAAAGTTTCTACCACCAATAAGTTGTTGTGTGATGTTTGAGGAGAGTAAAGAGTTCATCTCTTTTCTTGTAATATACCTGAAATGTAGTGTGTACCATTTATTATAAATCCAAAGCATAGACTGTATATATACAAATGGACAGCATGCCTCAGCCTCCTCCCGTTAAACAGAATGAAGACAAAATAACCCCGCGACAGCCGCTGACATCGGGTGAATTTGCAACCAGAGTCTGCACAGTTTGAAGAGCCCCAGTATTGACGTCTTGTGGCTTCTGCTATCGGAAACAAACATTTAACTTAAAGGTAAAACCGCAAAGCTCCCTCTGGTGGGTACAGTCCACAGCAGGACAGATTATTGTTTAGGTTTGAAGCAGACACACAAGCAGAATTTTGTGTTGGTGTTTGTTATGTTTTCTCTCGCCGTTTCTGCTCTACTCCTCTAATCTGGTGCACACGGCGCCTCATTCGTCAACAGAGCTGTCAATCATGCAAATTTATACAGATTTAGAGAATCAAAAAACTAATTAAAAAGAAATGAGGAATTGAACGCAATCAACAGGATAATTAATAACTGTCATGATGACAAAACAGGGTTTGATAGTTTGACACTTCCTGTATGTTAACATAGAGGAGGCGGGGTTTATGACTTATACCGCAGAGAGCCAGCAGGGGGAGCTCTCAAACGTTTTGCATCACCTGAGGCGAGGTGTCCGCCGTCCATATATTAATATTATGTTGCATGTTGTGTTATTATACTTTAATACAGCATTGTGTGCCCCTGTGTGTGTTTGTGGTTAAGATACATATTTTCGCTCTTTTGTCCTCATCTTGTTGACATTTATATTTGGTCGTTTATATTTATATTTTGATCTTACATCCATAATTCGTTGTTCAATATTTTTGTTTTTTTGATTTCATCATCATCTCACCTCCATTGTGTCCGTATTCCTGTTCTGATCCAGAGATTGAAGTTTTTATTTTATTTATCAAACTTGTTTAAATATTTTGTAAATGTATCTTTACAGTATTGTTCTTTATCTTTAAAAAAAAAAAAAAAAAACGTTTTTAAAAATCTTTACGATTAAAACAAAGACAACTTTCACTGATGATAAAAAAGTTGATGAACTGCTGGATTCATCTCAAGTTTATGTTCCTAGTTACGGGATGTTTCAGTGTATTGGTTTCTAACTGGTGTGTAATGGAGCTTTGTCCTCTCTACAGGATGACGTAAAAATAAAATATAAAAAGAGGAAAATGAAGATGGGACTTTATTTAACCTCATTGAAATTGTTCCCTGGATTATGAGTCTGAAGCTCTCTGTCTTTATTTTTGTATTGAAGTGAAAATAAACTCCCATAGAGCTCATGTTTTTATACATGTTGATAGAAACATGTGTGTATGTATTTAAAGCTCGCCAGGGGACAAAGGATTTGTGCTTTTTTTTTTTTTTTTTTTTTTTTTTTTTACAAAAGTAAAGCTGTGTGATGTGATTCACTTTCATTAAACAATAGAGAAACAAGCCTCAGATAAAAATTATCTAATCAAATATGATATCTATGGAAGCCCTAAGTGGACATAAATCCATTCATCTTTATTAACTCAGTTTCAGCGTGACAAACAAGTTAATTTTTGTTGTTTTTCAAGGTCTCGACTTTCTATCTAAATACCTCCAGATGATGCTGGTGATAAGAGTTAAGATTTATAAAAAACGGCAGGAAAAAATGTAGTTACCACAGCAACGTTTTCCAAGTTCCTCCTGGGGGATCCCGAGGCATTCCCAGGCCAGAAGGATAATATAATCCCTCTAGTAAACTCTGGGTCTACCCTGGGGGTCTCCTCTAAATTGGGTGTGCCAGGAAAACCTCACAAAGGGAGGCGTCCAAATCAAATGCTTGAACCACCTCAACTGCCTCCTTCTGATGTGAAGGAGTAGCGCCTCACTCTGAGGATTTGAGTTAATTAAAATGTCTTGATGCTTGTCTACTTTGGGCTTCCGTAGTGTAGGCTATCTGCTCTGGCATATCTCTATAGCACTGAAGTTAAAACAGGTCACTCTGTAAACAGTGTTAATCGAAATACAACTTTTAAAAGATAACTAATATAATAGCCTTGTGTGCACAAGATAATAACCACGATTTATTTCTTCAAGTGTGTCAATTGCATTTCATTTTTTTCATTTTTTTTCATTTCATTTTCAAAAAACAATTCACACTTTATCCCATGTACGGAAAGGAGCAGGGAGAAGAATACATCTTGTTTTGCTTGCCCCCTTACTCAAAAAGCAAACAATAAATGTCTGGATGGTCTGTCCAGTTACAATCAATGAATTACTATCATCCCAACATGAAACAAATCTGACAATTCAGTCTTCACTTCCTCAGAAAGTAGAAAGAAAACACACACAAAACACACTAACTGCCACTTTCATACAGTCTGATAACTTTGCTCTTATACATTTTCTTAAACTGAAATATCTGAACACAACCCTTCAAATCATTATTTAAAGAATTCCACAATTTAATTCCAATGACAGAAATACATTTCTGGCGGGCGCACTGGTGGCACAGTGGCAGGGCGCGCGTCCCATGTGTTGAGACTCTCGTCTCGAGCGGTAGGCCCGGGTTCACTTCCACCCGTGGCCCCCCTCCGCATGTCATTCCCCGCTCTCTCTCTCTGGTTTCTGACTCTATCCACTGTCCTCTCTCTCTCCCTGGTTTCTGACTCTATCCACTGTCCTCTCTCTCTCTGGTTTCTGACTCTATCCACTGTCCTCTCTCTCTCTCTGGTTTCTGACTCTATCCACTGTCCTCTCTCTCTCTCTGGTTTCTGACTCTATCCACTGTCCTCTCTCTCTCTGGTTTCTGACTCTATCCACTGTCCTCTCTCTCTCTGGTTTCAGACTCTATCCACTGTCCTCTCTCTCTCTCTGGTTTCAGACTCTATCCACTGTCCTCTCTCTCTCTCCCTGGTTTCTGACTCTATCCACTGTCCTCTCTCTCTCTGGTTTCAGACTCTATCCACTGTCCTCTCTCTCTCCCTGGTTTCTGACTCTATCCACTGTCCTCTCTCTCTCTGGTTTCTGACTCTATCCACTGTCCTCTCTCTCTGGTTTCAGACTCTATCCACTGTCCTCTCTATCTCTCTGGTTTCAGACTCTATCCACTGTCCTCTCTATCTCTCTGGTTTCAGACTCTATCCACTGTCCTCTCTCTCTCCCTGGTTTCAGACTCTATCCACTGTCCTCTCTCTCTCTGGTTTCAGACTCTATCCACTGTCCTCTCTCCCTGGTTTCTGACTCTATCCACTGTCCTCTCTCTCTCTCTGGTTTCTGACTCTATCCACTGTCCTCTCTCTCTCTGGTTTCTGACTCTATCCACTGTCCTCTCTCTCTCTGGTTTCTGACTCTATCCACTGTCCTCTCTCTCTCTGGTTTCTGACTCTATCCACTGTCCTCTCTCTCTCTGGTTTCTGACTCTATCCACTGTCCTCTCTCTCTCTGGTTTCAGACTCTATCCACTGTCCTCTCTCTCTCTCTGGTTTCAGACTCTATCCACTGTCCTCTCTCTCTCTGGTTTCTGACTCTATCCACTGTCCTCTCTCTCTCTCTGGTTTCTGACTCTATCCACTGTCCTCTCTCTCTCTCTGGTTTCAGACTCTATCCACTGTCCTCTCTCTCTCTCTGGTTTCAGACTCTATCCACTGTCCTCTCTCTCTCTCTGGTTTCTGACTCTATCCACTGTCCTCTCTCTCTCTCTCTGGTTTCAGACTCTATCCACTGTCCTCTCTCTGCAGTAAAGGCATGAAAAAGCCCAAAAGAAATCTTTACAAAAAAGAAATACATTTCTGTTTTAAAGTTGTCCTCGCTACGGAAGAGGATTAGGGCCACACATAAAAAAAATAGAGTTTTGACTTTATTCCTAGAATTCTGACTCCAAACTCAGAATTGTGACTTTATTCTCAGAATTGTGACTTTAAACTCAGAATTCTGACTTTAAAGTCAGAACTCTTTTTTTTTTTTTTAATGTGTGGCCCTAATCCTCTTCCGTACCTCGCAAACTGATGCTTAAAATGACATTTTCAAAGTGGAACCTTCTGTTTTCTCTTAAAAGCTTGTTTCCGCCGTGTTCGATTCGGTGTCGGACCGGTGGGGGAGCGATCGGTCACTAATGTCTGCAACACCCGGTGTTTGAGTTGTGGGATGGAGTTTCGTTGACAGACAGTTTCCACCGAGACGTGAGAGTTTAGTTTGTTTTCGTGTGTCTGCAAACGGAGAAGTGTTTCCAGGGAGCGCTGAGCCGGACAGTCATGGAGGACACTATTGTGAGTATGACATCCGGGGTCTTTTAACGACAGGACGGGGGGCGACGCGGCTAACCTGAAGCTAGCTGGTTAGCTGAAGTCCGGAGTGATGAGGCAGCAGAATTAGCTGCTAACGTTAGCGGAGGGGCCTGTGGAGCTAACCGGCTAACCTTAGCTCTCTGACAGGCTGACGACATCCGAATATAAAGAGGCTTCAGCGGCTTCAGGAGAGCTGAACGACCAACACAGAATATAAAAGGTGTTAATGATCCTCAGGGACAAACAGGTTTAAGGGTTGTTTTGGTGATTCATCCTCCACGCTGTCACGGATTAACTCCGTTGTTTTTGTGGGTTTTAAATTGAGCAGCTTTTCACCTTCACAGTTTGAAAACACCTGAAGTATAAAAGATAAAGGTGACTTTACTTTTCTGCACTGTCACTGCTGTCATAACATCCGGACTGTAAACACAGAAGAAGAAGGAGGAGGAGAAGAAGGAGGAGAAGAAGAAGAAGAAGAAGAAGAAGAAGAAGAAGAAGAAGAAGGAGAAGAAGAAGAAGAAGGGGGTCAATGTTGTTATAATTGTATTTATGTAGCAGGTTTTAACATAAAACACATCAACAGTCAGAACAAACAGAGATAATTTAAATCTATTTGTTTTGAGAGAGCGAGGGAGAGAGAGAGAGAGAGGGAGAGAGAGAGGGAGGGAGAGAGACAGAGAGAGACGGAGGGAGAGAGAGAGACGGAGAGAGAGAGAGAGGAGAGAGAGAGAGAGACAGACAGACAGAGAGAGAGGGAGAGAGAGAGAGAGAGAGACAGAGTGAGAGACACACAGAGAGAGGGAGGGAGAGAGAGAGACAGACAGACAGACAGAGAGAGAGGGAGAGAGAGAGACAGACAGAGGGAGAGGGAGAGACACACAGAGAGGGAGGGAGGGAGAGAGACAGACAGACAGACAGAGAGAGAGGGAGAGAGAGAGAGACAGAGAGAGAGAGAGACAGACAGACAGAGGGAGAGGGAGGGAGAGAGAGAGACACACAGAGAGATGGAGAGAGAGGGAGGGAGAGAGGAGAGGGAGGGAGAGAGAGAGAGAGAGAGACACAGAGAGAGAGACAGAGAGAGAGGGAGGGAGAGAGAGAGAGAGAGAGACAGAGAGAGACAGAGAGAGACGGAGGGAGAGAGAGAGACGGAGAGAGAGAGAGAGACAGACAGACAGAGAGAGAGGGAGAGAGAGAGAGAGAGAGACAGAGTGAGAGACACACAGAGAGAGGGAGGGAGAGAGAGAGACAGACAGACAGACAGAGAGAGAGGGAGAGAGAGAGACAGACAGAGGGAGAGGAGAGACACACAGAGAGGGAGGGAGGGAGAGAGACAGACAGACAGACAGAGAGAGAGGGAGAGAGAGAGAGACAGAGAGAGAGAGAGACAGACAGACAGAGGGAGAGGGAGGGAGAGAGAGAGACACACAGAGAGATGGAGAGAGAGGGAGGGAGAGAGGGAGAGGGAGGAGAGAGAGAGAGAGAGAGACACAGAGAGAGAGACAGAGAGAGATGGAGGGAGAGAGAGAGGGGGGGGGAGAGACAGACACAGAGAGAGAGAGAGAGCTCTCTGATTTAAAGGTAGCAGGTGTGTCACTGAGGTGATGCATCAGGAAGGGACTCAGGTTTTTGTTTTTACCAGATCATCGAGAATGTTTACTAATTTTCATGATCTGAATTAAATGAAGAAATGTGGTTCCTGGTTCCTTCTGGACATGAACTTCCTTTTCCCTGCGTACAAACCCACTGGGACGGTGCATCAGTGACCATTTGTTGACCATAAACACTTTTTGTTACACGTTTGTTTTGATGTTTTTGACAAATGGCCGCCTCACACAGGAATCAGAAAGAAACCGGGCGAGTAAAAGGGACTAGGCCTTAAATTAGGTTAGTTTTAAGTTTTACCATGCAGCAACTTCCAGTGGTGAAAATTGAAGCAGATGCCGAATTGCAAAATCCTGCAGTTCCTGGAGTGTCCACTAGAGGCTGGCTGCAGAAGCACAGGAAGTCACATACACACCCATTCTAAAAAGCCTGTTTTTACAGCAGAGATGAACATGTTTACAGCCTGGTTCAAAAAACCAAACAGGTGTGATTAGCTCATGTGTGGATGGACACACGCTGTACGGGGGGTGAATGTTTTGATGACTCATCAGTTTTGATTTGATGAAGGATAAGAGTTATTCACAATAAGGCGTGTAGCTGACCTGATTGACAGGTGGGCGCGGTGTAACGGTTTGTCAGGAGGTTTAAAACCCGCCTCAGCTCCAGCTCTCAGCCTGTTGTTAGGTTGACTGAAAGTTACAAACGTCTCACTTGCGCTGCCTCATCTCGGTCTCTTCAATCATATTCTCAAAGCGTCATTATGAGCTACTTGTAGTTTTCTGCATACTTTGTGTGCTAATATTTTGTCCACACATTCGGTTCACATTATTTTTGTTTTGAAAGAGTGAAGCAGCTGTTGTGACTGATATCTTCGACCGAGCACTGATTGCCGTTTGTGTTTTGTCTTTGTTAGATCGTCAGGGTTCAATCCCCAGATGGGATGAGGAAAATTGCTTCTACCAAGAGGGAGATGGCGTCTGCGTTTCTGAAGAAGGTAAAGTGTTTAAAACTCTAACTTCAAGTCATGATTCAAACAAGCGGTTTGCTGTTTTTTTATGGTATCAGATCTGCTCTTCTAAAACATCTTCGGTCTATTTTTTCTGAACACACATGTACACCAGGGGAGACTGGGGGCCCTGACTGCCCCTTTTGGTGGTCAAGGCACTTTTTTGTATAAAAAAAAAAAAATTTAAGTTCCTTAAAAGGTTTTCTTTGGAAGGCATCTTCCTTCTTTGTGGCTCACAACCCTCGGGGGTCTTAACCCCCACTTGTGAACGACTGATCTACACAACACGTTCTATTGCTTTGTAATTAAGGTCGTCCAAATGTGCCATACTTTCATACTTTTTCAGATACCCAGTGATCCAAACGATTAATTTATTTTTACTTCAATAGTCAAAAAAGAATAAAAACTACAGACATTTGGTCATAATAACTTTAATCCAAAACTGGAGTGAATAAACCCCAGCTGTGGTCCATTCAAATTCACAGGCTGTCATATTGGTGTCTTATAAAGATGCAAAACTAACATTTGTGTCTCTCAAAAACAGAGAGAGAGCAGAGGAGGTGACAGCAAAGGTGACATTATCTAAACTGTACAAACATGCTGGAACTTTGTTTGTATTTGTGCAATTTAGACAGCATGCAGGAGTTTGCCTGCAGTGTTTATTTATGGGTTTGGCCTTTATCTATAGATAGGACAGTCGATAGTCAGAAATCAGAGAGAGAGTGTGGGGAACAACATGCAGTGAACAGAGCCACAGGTCAGATACAGACTTGGGCCCCTCACTTGGAGGACTATAGGCTCAGTACATGAGGGCGCCCCTCGCTTGCAGTTTTTGGTAATTAGAAAACAAGAAATGTATTATTAAATGTGTTTCTGTGGTATCAGAGAGGTAGCAGAGACAACAACTCCCATGATTCCCCGCCAGCCTCAGCGTCATATTTTGTTATTGTTTTGATTGAGAGCCCCCTGGTGGAGGAATGTATATACTGTACGTTTAATTAATTGACGTTAATCGCAAAAAAAGCGAGTGAATATGACTTCACAAATTCTACTTCTGAGTAACAATCTGAAAAATAATCTAGTCTCTGCAGGAACGATAGGAGACCTTCACTTTAAGCCAGACGAGGAGGTTCAGTCTGACCGAAACAGTGAAACAGTTTAGAAATGATTTCTTCAAGATGATGATGTGGATGAAAGTTCAAACACTGCAGTATGGATTGTTGATCATCTATGTGTCACTACACTGCCGCTGCTCATCAGTTGTTGTTTACAACCCCGGCCCTAGAGACCACACTGATAGAGATAATTAGGGCCTCAGTTTTTGTACGACTGTTTTATCTAAGTTTGGCTCCAGCTGTCCTCCAGTCATACTCAAGCACATGAAAATATTCTTTTGACTCAATAAAACCCTAAAATAAAACCAGCAGACCGGTCGCAGCAGAGCTCTGCAGCAGCTCCTCATTAAAAATGTATGTCTCCTCGTCGAGGCAGGATGGTGTAGCCTGCAAATCAATGAGAGGAGTAGTTTTCAGTCTCTGCCGCCGTGCTGCCAGGGATGGTTGAAATAGAAAACCTTGGGTGTGAGGCAGACGGTGCAGGGACAGTCTGAGCCCTGCAGTGTTTTTTTTTTGCTGCTGCTGAGACAGAATAAAAGGAGCTCAAAGTGACATTTTCCTCCAGTACACACTAATAATATATTTTACTGTCTTTTTTTTTTTTTTTGAAGTTATTTTGATACTCAAAGGACCTCTGTGCTTGTGCTTCTGGCTTGCTGTGTGATTAGAAGTCACAGGATCAATCCAGCAGTGTTGATTTATTTAATAAAGTACACCTCAAGTGATGAACTGCAGACAGTGAACGTGCATCGGGCTGATTGTCTGCCTGTTCAGTGACCTGGAGATAGAAGTGCTGTGGGAGACTCAGCTCGTCTGCCGGGCTCAGAGAGCTCTTAATAGCCGAGTTTGGCTCCCCTCTGGGATGACCATAAAGGGAGTTCCTAGAGGCGGACTTTCTCTCGTGCCAAGAGGATCTGTGCTTATCTGCTTAGATGTGATTTAACAGTTGACACCTTTTTACACTTGAACCTTATCAGTGGAAGGTGTGGATCAGCTTTTTTAACCAACATTTATGATCAGACTGATACAAGAGACATTGCACCAGTGTTTCCTGCTGCGCTTTATAGTTTAGGCAGCTGTCTTAACAATATGCACCCTCAGCCTTAATAAGTACCGTTGTAGGACCCGATTACAGAAAGAAAATAGGATCATCCTCTTCTTCCATCCTATCCTCAAATCAACAGCAGTGGATAAAACTGTAAACATTAACAGCAATGTTTGTGAACTTTGATCCCCAGCTCCTGCAGCCACACCTCCGATGTGTCTTTGGGCAAGACACTTAACCCCAAGTTGTGTGAATGTGTATATGAATGGATTGGCTGATGGTCACTTTCCACAGCAGCCTCTACCATCAGTGTGTGAATGTGTAGGGTGTGACCTGCGGTGTCAAAGCACTTTTCCTTTAACTGGTGGATTTCCTGCAGGAAACACTGATTGCACAGTTTGAACGGATGACCAACGCTGTCTCCCGCTCTAAATCTATTCACTGTGTCATTTCTGTTTCAGGTGGGCAAAGAGTTTGGGTTCAGCTCCAATGGGTTTTCTATTTACCTGAATCGCAACAAGACCGGAGAGATCCTTTCCCAGAACAAAACTATGAGTGTGCTTAAGATCAAGTAAGTCGCGCCAACAGCTTTGAGCTTTAGGAGAGTGTAGATCTGTTAAACTCTTCCCTCAGAGTAAATCCTGGAAGAATATGTTGCAGCTTTAAACGTGTTGTCTTCCCTCCGTTGTAGGCATGGCGACATGCTGTTTCTGTACCCTTCAGGGGCCTCCTCTTCCTCCTCTGCAGAGGTGATGGACACGGCCACCCCACACTCGTCTTCATCACTACCATCCATCTCATCATCATCCATATCCTCCTCATCGTCCTCATCGTCCTCCTCCATGATCCCCCGGTCCTTCTCGGCGCCCCAGGTCCAGGAGGATGAGATCGATCAGTATCTGGCCAAGCAGGACGGCAAGATCTACAGGAACAAAGATCCTCAACTGTAAGGAGATGACTTACTGCGAACATTAAAATAAGATATGACCGACAGCTGATGACTCTTTTATCGTTGCAGATGTCGCCATGGTGCCCTTGGAAAATGCGTGCACTGTGTACCATTAGAGGTAAGAAAACCAAGTCATGTGTTTGATTCCTTAAATGTACCAGGATTTATTGCCTGCACCCCTGATGTGAGGATTATTCAGATTTTAAAATTCTTAATTTTTTTACTCCAGCCTTTTGACGAAGACTACCTGAATCACCTCGACCCACCGGTAAAGCACATGTCATTCCACGCTTACCTTCGCAAGCTGACCGGTGGCGCCGATAAGTGAGACACTCAGATTTATTGCAGTCATTTTTTACATATATATATATTTTTTTTTTTTTACAAGTTCTTGTCAATTTGTCACACTTTCTCTTTTTTTTTAATCTCCTGCAGAGGGAAGTTTGCAGCTTTGGAGAACATCAGCTGTAAAATTAAGTCAGGCTGTGAGGGCCACCCTCCCTGGCCGGAGGGGATCTGCACCAAGTGCCAGCCCAGTGCCATCACACTGAACAGACAGGTGGGTTACTCTAACGTCATTCACAGAGTTTACATGCACAGATAAGTTGAGCTAGTGTTGGAGTACTCAAAATCGGTTTTGGTCTCGAGACCAGGTTTTGGAATTTAAGGCATTTTAACTCGATCTTGTCTCCGTCTCAGACAGACCGGACTCTGGATTTGAAATCTAGACCATCACTGAAAGGCTATCTTTGCAAGTCATTACTATGATTAGAAGGAAAACGCCTTTTGCAGGGTTGAGGCCCGATCAGTGGAGCCCTTCTTACCGAGCCACAGCTGCTCCATAATTAAAGAAATATACCTGAGGAGAACAGAATAGCGCTGCATGATCCAAGCCTCCGCTTTTCTTTTTTCCAGAAATACAGACATGTGGACAACATCATGTTTGAGAACCACACCATTGCTGACCGCTTCCTGGACTTCTGGAGGAAGACTGGCAGTCAGAGGATGGGGTACTTGTATGGCAAGTACACTGAGCACACAGACATCCCTCTGGGCATCAGGGCCGAGGTGGCCGCCATCTACGAGCCTCCACAGGTGAGGGAGTCACCAAAATACATTCCTTCCATCTATTATTAAACGCTGGGATTTAACCTCAAAGTAACTTCATATCTTTATTCAAATGTTCAACGTGTCCCTGGTGTGTTTCAGAACGCAACTCAGAACAGCCTTGAGCTGGTGGAGGATCCAAAAGCTGCAGCTGTGGATGAAATTGCTGCCAAACTGGGCCTGTGCAAGGTCAGCCTTCCTTTTTATTTTTGGCTGTTTGCTTTTATTTGGACAGGACAGCGGATAGAGAAGAAAACCAGAGAAAAGGGAGAGAGAGAGAGAAGGGGGATGACATGAGGGAAAGAAGCCACAGGTCGGAATTGAACTCGGGCTGTGGCTACTTCAAAGACTGTAGCCTCCATACATGGGGCACAACACTTCCACTAGGCCACTGGCGCCCCAAGGACAGACTACTTTTACCTCTCCTCAGTTTTAACCTTTCACTCCAAGTGACCTTAATATCAGAAACTCCCGTTGTCAAACTAATAATTGAATGTAATTGTTCATTATTTTCACAATAATTTATTTAATCTAAACTAGATTAAGGACTGTCAAACAAATACTGTACTTATTTTTGATCGCATGTTTGAAATTCCATTACTTCAAATAAAAAAATAAAAATTGTTAGGCTTTTATTTTGAAATTTTGTACTGTCTTAAGCTGAAAGTAAGTTCTTACCTGAATTCAACCCTGCTTTTATTTTGAAAGAAAGTCCTTCTGGTAAAGTGAAGGTTAGGACATGAAGTTAATCCCAGAAACAGGAAGTGGTTAGGGATCCCAAAGTGAGGTCAAACAGCTCAAAGGAACGGTAACAAAGGTCAATGTGTGATGTCATAAGGTCAATGTGTGATGTCATGACTTTGGAGAGTTTGTTAAAGTGAAATGAGACATTCAAAGATGCAGCAGTGTCCTTCTTTTATCACCTAACTCTGTGATGTTTTAACATTTTTCTGTCCTCTGGTCTCCAGGTGGGCTGGATCTTCACAGACCTGCTCTCTGAGGACACGAGGATAGGAACTGTCCGCTATACGAGAAACCACGTGAGGATGCTTCTCTTCCTTAGACAGGACCGTTTCATCACAGTGTGCTGCTCTGCTTCCTCTGCATGATTCATCAATGTCTTCACCTCTGTTAGGAATCCCACTATCTGAGCGCTGAGGAGTGCATCACAGCAGGACACTTCCAGAACAGTCACTCAAACACCTGCAGACTCTCTCGAGACGGACAGTTCGGCTCTAAGTTTGTGACAGTGGTGGCGACAGGTACGTTTGCTAAAAATGATCTTAATTATAATCCAACCAGCAGGGGGCGTGTGACTCGAGTTACACTCAGATGTCCCTATGTCACTAAAACCATGTCAGACCACCATGTGTACAAGAAGAGCACCAAACATTGCAGTGACCTCACCCCCCCCCCGTTATTTACATTAATGAGGCAGCGGCAGCCAACCAATGCTGACGTCATGGCAACACATGTTATGCCAACATCCAAAGTCCATCTGTTTCACTTTCCCTCGTGTAGAGACGAAGGCGGGTTGCAAATCACTTTCATGTGTGAAGCTGAAGAGGAAGTAGAGACTTAGTGCAACACACTGTGGTGTTGTAATCCAGACCACAATAACCAAGACCCAAGGCAAACCTGAGACCAGAGTGATCCTAGACCGAGACAAGACCAAGACATTTAGGGGGCGAGGCCAAGACCAAGACATTTAGGGGGCAAGGCCAAGACCAAGACTGGTCGAGATCGAGTCAAGACCGCGACATTAAGGGAGCGAGGCCAAGACCAAGACAGGGCGAGATTGAGTCAAGACCAAGACATTAAGGGGGCAAGGCAGAAGACCAAGACATTTAGGGGGCAAGGCAGAAGACCAAGACATTACGGGGGCAAGGCAGAAGACCAAGACAGGGCGAGATTGAGTCAAGACCAAGACATTAAGGGGGCAAGGCAGAAGACCAAGACATTTAGGGGGCAAGGCAGAAGACCAAGACATTTAGGGGGCAAGGCAGAAGACCAAGACATTTAGGGGGCAAGGCAGAAGACCAAGACATTTAGGGGGCAAGGCAGAAGACCAAGACATTTAGGGGGCGAGGCCAAGACCAAGACATTTAAGGGGCGAGGCCAAGACCAAGACATTTAAGGGGCGAGGCCAAGACCAAGACATTTAGGGGGCGAGGCCAAGACCAAGACATTTAGGGGGCGAGGCCAAGACCAAGACATTTAAGGGGCGAGGCCAAGACCAAGACATTTAAGGGGCAAGGCCAAGACCAAGACTGGTCGAGATCGAGTCAAGACCAAGACATTAAGGGGGCGAGGCCAAGACCAAGACATTTAGGGGGCAAGGCCAAGACCAAGACTGGTCGAGATCGAGTCAAGACCAAGACATTAAGGGGGCGAGGCCAAGACCAAGACATTTAGGGGGCAAGGCAGAAGACCAAGACATTAAGGGGGCAAGGCAGAAGACCAAGACTGGTCGAGATCGAGTCAAGACCAAGACATTAAGGGGGCGAGGCCAAGACCAAGACATTTAGGGGGCAAGGCAGAAGACCAAGACATTAAGGGGGCAAGGCAGAAGACCAAGACATTACGGGGGCAAGGCAGAAGACCAAGACAGGGCGAGATTGAGTCAAGACCAAGACATTAAGGGGGCAAGGCAGAAGACCAAGACATTTAGGGGGCAAGGCAGAAGACCAAGACATTTAGGGGGCAAGGCAGAAGACCAAGACATTTAGGGGGCAAGGCAGAAGACCAAGACATTTAGGGGGCAAGGCAGAAGACCAAGACATTTAGGGGGCGAGGCCAAGACCAAGACATTTAAGGGGCGAGGCCAAGACCAAGACATTTAAGGGGCGAGGCCAAGACCAAGACATTTAAGGGGCGAGGCCAAGACCAAGACATTTAGGGGGCGAGGCCAAGACCAAGACATTTAAGGGGCGAGGCCAAGACCAAGACATTTAAGGGGCGAGGCCAAGACCAAGACATTTAGGGGGCGAGGCCAAGACCAAGACATTTAGGGGGCGAGGCCAAGACCAAGACATTTAAGGGGCGAGGCCAAGACCAAGACCAAAAATATCATTGAGAAATCATCATCTGGTTATTTAGGGGGCGTGTCACTCACTTAGACTGTAACACCGGGAAGGTTGTGGCCGTAACCGGGGGATAAAAATCAGATCAGTGGTAGCCACTGGTCTTGATTTAAAATCCAGAGTCTCAGTTATCTAATGCGACCTAATATAGATGAAGGTTGGGCAAAAATTGGTACTTGGTCGGCCGTAGATATACCTGAACGCCCCTGGAGAGAGCAGGTCATAAAAAAGTTCAATAGAGGTTTTCTGACTCCACAGCGAGTTTTCTTTTAACTGTTCAGTGAGTTCTGATGAATAAACAAAGACGCCATGTGTCGTTCCCTGTGCAGGCGGTCCAGATAACCAGGTACACTTTGAGGGGTACCAGGTGTCCAATCAGTGCATGGCTCTGGTAAGAGACGAGTGCCTACTGCCCTGCAAAGACGCTCCCGAGCTGGGCTACGTTAAAGAGTCGTGCCCTGAGCAGTACGTACCCGACGTCTTCTACAAGGTGAGGGTTCACACGGCGTGCACGATGTACACACAAAGATAGAAACAGAAGGTTTTCTGATGTCTGTGCCTCCTTTCATCCTAAAGGACAAAGACAAATTTGGAAATGACATCACGTTTCTAGCCCGGCCTCTCCCCGTGGAGTACCTCATCATAGATGTGAGTAACACACACACACACACACACACACACACACACACACACCACACACACACACACACACACACACACACACACAACACACACACACACACACACACACACACAACACACACACACACACGCACAGCGTCTTTATTTTAACACACTTTTACTTCCTGTATAATATATCGGGTTTTGTTTTTATTACTTTATTGCAGGTTGTTCCTTCGCTACTCTCTTAATTTAACAGAATTTAATTTACATACCTCTTATTATTCCACTTTATCTGTTTCCTTATCCATTTACTCCAGTAACACATGAATTCATCTTCTCTGTTTCTTGGCTTATACGTAATTCTTTCCATTTCTTTAATATCTTCCACTTCCATGCATTAAAGGTCCCACATTCTTCTTCTTCTGGTTTTATATGCTCTTTAGTGTGTTTTCCAAGTGTCCTGTGCATGTTTAGACACATCTATGTGCAAAAATTCAAAGTCCGCGGAAACGCGGCTTCTCCTACCTCCTCCTGTTAGCTGTAGCATTAGCTGCATGTAACGCTCGGTTCATTGTCAGTGTGAGATCACTGATCTAAGCTCATTGGCTCGTTGTGGCCCAGCAGCTCATGTTGAAATTTCCGAGACGCGTGCTGAGCAACTGACCAATAACGACAGAGCGGATCGGCAGACCAATCAGAGCAGACTTGGCCCACGTGGGGTCTAACAGTGTGGGCTCAACAGAGTGCAGCTGCTGGACTCAGAGTGTAGAGGGAGCAAGGAGGAGCAGTTCATGAAAACAGACACTTTTCAGACTTTATCTATTGTGAACGTACAAAAGTAGGAACATAGATTAAATATAAGAACCCCAAAAAGGACAAAATATGGACTCTTTAATAGACGGGGGTTTATCACCAGCCAGCTCCGTGTAATTTGCTTTAATGCAGCTATGTGTATTATTGTGTACAAATATTTGTCCCCTTCCTTCTCTACGCCTGGTGGAGCAATACCAAGTATGATATTAACTGGGTGAAGTCGTTTCTGTAAGTTTTTATTCTTTTCTTGTGCAGATAACGACCACGTTTCCAAAAGACCCCCAGTACACCTTCTGTTCCACGCAGCGCTTCCCCATCGAGAACCGGGACATCCTGGGAGAGACACAGGTAAGAACTTCCTGCTTCTCTAAACCGTCGTAGTATTAAACAGTACATTTTGCATTTCCATTTTTATTAAAAAGGGAATAACCTTCAGAAAAGGTAAAGGGGTGATCATTTATTTGAAATGTCTAAAAATGTAAATTCTGTTTGGTGTTTTTTGTTTTGGATTTAGAAAATTTAATCAAATCAGAGAATCGAAAAAGACCAGGTACTTTGAGTTTTCTGTTGTATCTTTCACCGATTTACAGAAGTCTTATCATTTCACTGTTTTTTGGGAGGAAAAAAATACATTTTTAAGGGATAACCATGTGCAACAAACTGAGTTCAAACATTTAGAGGAATGTTTAGGGATTATCCTGACGTCAAAGAAAAAACAGAAAAAGAGCAGAAATAGAAAATAAGAAATGCATGCCTTGTTGAAAAGGCATTTTTGAGCATTTTATGTCTTTATTTTAGAGGTGGGTCAGTGGATAGAGTCAGAAATCAGAGAGAGAGAGGGGTGTGGCATGAAGGAAAGGAGCTACAGGTCGGGCCCCTTGCTTGGAGTACCACAGCCTCCGTGCACGGGGCGTGTACACTAACCACTTAGCCACAGACGCGCCCCAAAACGGCAGGAATCTTAAAGTCAAAAGTTATACATCAGGACTCTTTCTGTTTGTTGTGTTTCTGCAGGATTTCCACAGTTTAGCGACGTACCTGTCCCAGTGCACCTCCACGGCATTCCTGGACATCGTGTCAGACTTCCACCTGCTCCTCTTCCTCGTCACCAATGAAGTCATGCCTCTAAGAGTAAGTGTGTCGCAGTGTGTAGGTCAGAATGTGACCACATGCTTCTCCAGTCTGGAGTCGTTTATCACTGACAGGATGTTTTATCTCTGAGCCTTTTTTATGTTTTCATGCTGATCCGTTTCAAAACTTTCCAGCAGCCCATCATCAAGACCAAAATCAAAAGCATGTTTGTTGGAATGTGTTCTGATAATTATTTGCTGCTTGGTCAGATTAAGAGCAGAAAGCCGGTTCCATTATTGAGATTCTCTTTGTTTCTGCAGGACAGCATCGGGCTGCTTTTAGACGCTGTGAGAACTTCTGACGAGGATCTGGCTCAGACCTGGAAGAAGTCGGAGCAGTGGGCCACGATCGAGCAGCTGTGCAGTAAGTCGCTCACAGTTTCACCTGCCTCGTCCTCGCTCAGTGTGTGCTAACTTCAGTGCCGTAGAACAGTGTGTGTGTGCGAGCAGCGCTGCACACAGTAGACGGCGTCTGGTGCTGAAAACCTCGCTTTAGGTTCCAGAGTTTCCATATGACCCTGAGGTGGGGTGAGCTGACTTCATGTGCTGTTATGGCGGTTGCCTCTGTTCTCTGTGGTTTGGCTTGTTTATACCATGGTTGCTATGACAACCTCAGTGTTGTTGGCCTCATCACAAAGCCCTAGTTGATTTAAAATACATTTAGAAGTGATAAATACTTGTCTCATGAAAATGGTTCTCCTCTTCTTACCTGCTGTGATCTCGCTCCTTCTCCCTCCAGGTACGGTGGGCGGGCAGCCCTCCAGCTCTCTGGGCTACGGGGCCATGGGCGGCCCCTCGGCCCCCGCCTCCTCCTCGGCCATGTGGTCCTGCCTCCACTGCACCTTCATGAACCAGCCTGGCACAGAGCACTGTGAGATGTGCAGCCTGCCCCGCAGTTAAAAATCCCCCCCTCCCCCTCCCCCTCCCCCTCCCCCATCCTCCACCCCGCCCACACACCCTGATTCGATCCCGCCCAGCCCTACTCTTAACTCGCCAATGACATCACTGCACCAGGACCAGCTGCGAGATGTGGATGCCCTAATCTTTTTTTTGGTTTTCTTCGGCCTCACTCTTTCGCCTCGGTCCCTCCCCCGACTCACACGCCGCTGTGACGCGTCAAAGGGATGCACTCGTTTACACCAAATGAATGAGTAAATCAAATAAAAGCAGACTTGGTTTTTTTTCTTCATTTTCTGCACCTTTCCTCACAGCCGCTCTTGTAAGGGGGGTTTGTTAAGGTAAAGCACTTTTGGCTGAGGCTCCTCCCATCCCCAACCCTGACCCCGCCCCCACCCCAGAATAATCAACGCCCCTTTCCTCAAATAAATCCTGCTGTGACTCAGGACGACGGCAAAGACTCAAACGTTTGGATGTTCTCTCACATCAGTGCCCCTCTCTCACTCTCACAACGTCTTCTGGAAAATGTTGCTGTGTATAAAATATATCTGAGGAATGACACTGTTATTTAATTAAGCTTCTTTTTTTTTTTTTTTCATTTGATTGTAGCGATACCTTAAAACATTTTGAATCTTCAGCGTGGATTCTACTCGGGTCAGGTGTTTCTAGGTCCCTTTGACGAGCCCTTCAAAAGTACAATCATCGGTCAAACCAACGACCAGAGTAACTCCACTCACGTTTGTATTTTCAGTATTAATTTTAAAAAAAGGGTCCCAGTTTTGCAAAGGTTAAAAGCTCTTCACCCTGAACACAACCTCCAGTAACGATCAGTTGATGTTTCTCAACTCGTGTCCCGTCGACTTGAAGTGGTTCCCCTGCTTTGTTGGAATTTGTAGCTTTAGGGATTTGATGGTTTTGAACTCGAGCAGGCATGATATGTAGCTTCTTTTACCGGCTGCTTCATCATCATCATCATCAGTTTGCTCAAACTGAATCTGCCGTGAGGTGCTTCTAGAAACAACTGGTGCTCGCCTCTCTTGCTCTCTTCACGCTGCTGCTGCTGCTGCTTCTTCTTTGGTTTAATAACTGGCGCAGCTCCAGAGGAGTCGGATCATTACCAACGCTCCTCACTCGGCCTTCAAAGTGTTTTGGTGTCAAAGGTCATTACGGGGAGAAAAACAAACCTCTCATTTCTGATCTCTGCTCCGTTTGTTGGCAATCTGGAGGATGATGAAGAACACCTTGTGTTTTGGTTTGATTACTGAGCCATGTGCTTTAAAGTGAAAACCCTGAGCTTCTTTCCTGAGGAGACGTGGTCCAGAAAGAGCGTTCCTCGTCTTTGTAGAGCCTGAAAGCGACTTTAAATCCCCTCCATGGCGCTAAAAAAGACAGTTTTCTCAAACTCACTGAAAATTTTAGAGAATTTAATTTCAGACAGACGACCCCTGAGATCTTCTTGTCGACCTTTACCTCACAGTGGGAGACCAAACCTGTCGGATGGGAGGGAGGGGTCAGAGGAGAGGTGACGTAAAGTAAAAAAGAATGAAGTGAAAGTGGTGGAAGAAGGAACAGAGCCTGATGCTCTAATGACAACTTTGGCCTTTCTATCAGTGCAACGTGTGGATCAACACATTCACTGTATCAACAACAGAGCGGAGGAGATCATTCTGGCAAACTGAGAGCATAATGAAACCGCTGGACGAGTCGGATTATCCTGATTGTTTCCTGCTGTGTTCACACGTCAGAGGGGAGAATGTGGTTGTTTACGGAACGATTTCAGGAGTTTTGTGGAAGAGACTGTAAACAAGCAGTTCATCGTTAAAGCCCCGTTTCCATCAAGCGGACCGGTTCAGTTCAGGATGGTTTGGTACTGTAAACCTTCCATCGTTCCAACCGTACCCTTACACTTCACTTAATCACAGCAGCGTAGACCGCCGTTCAACACAGAAGAAGAGCGCAACACAGTAAACAAATAATGATTCCTATGTGGTCTGCATCTCCGAGGTCGTCCATGGGGCGGAGCTACACGCTGACAATAATAATTGTTTGTCCTTTGATTTCGCCGTCGCACAGGAAGGGATTCTTTCGACCAATCAGTGGGCTGCAGTGTGTCTGACTCCACCCTTTAGAGTCGGATTGGTACGATTGGCATCCAGACAGAAGGGAAGCAAAAAAGTAGGACGGTATGGACCAGTTATTTTGGTACCATTCCAAACTGAACCGGACCGCTTGGTGGAAACGGATGTCAAGGCATAAGGCAGGACAGAAATGGCCACTAGGGGGCAACTCCACTGGTTGCAAAATGAGCAGTGAGCGTACTTCTCAGACAGTTGATTTATTCCCTCAGAAAACATTTTTCCCGATAAGTTCATTATCTCAATCTCTAGTTTTCAAGTCTTCTTCTGGACCGCACGATGCTGAGTTTGTAAGTTCTGGTCCCAGTCAGAGTCTAGAGTCAAACTTAGACGATCAAGTTTACCTCCTGATTGAGCAGGGTGGCCTGCGTATCCACAGAAGGTCGCTTTAGGCTCAAAAAGAAGATGGCGACGACGATGCAGAAATGTCAAAGTTGAAGCTTCAGAGCCGTTTCTTTGGTGGATTCTTACTCTGAAAAATATGTTTGTAGAGAGTCGTTAATAATCTCATTAGCCGCATGCAGCTAGCAGTGAGCAACCCTTTAACATACTCAGTCAGCAGTGATCGACCTGTCGACGTCGGTTAAAGCCTCTTTCTTTTCAAATCTTCTTCATCAGATGTTATATTGGGACCAAAACTTCACATCATTTAAGTCGTAGAAACGTCACTTCTTGTTACATTTTATCAGCGTCGTCACATCTGGCAGGAATTAAAAAAAAATAACTTTGAGACACTCGTAATGATGCTGAAAAAAACCTGACATTCAGGGCGTCGCTGCACGGCTCTGAGAGTGGAGCCAGAATGGCGCTGTGTGTTTTTTTTTCTACCATCACCTGCACAACAGATGGAAATCTGTCTCCATATAAAAGCTGAACAACATCTCACACGTGACGCGCGAAGACGTCAAATATTTTTGATTCATGTCAGAAAGACGCTCGGGCAGGTTTTTTTCTAGACTTAAAATAACTTTTGAGTTTAGAGAAGAGAAGCACATTTCCCGTCTTCACACGTTTTTTCAACAGCAGGATTTTTTTTTTTGATCCACATCCTCGGTGTTCTCGCTGCTGACTGACGAACACTCAAACATCCTCCGATCTTTTTTTTTGTTTTTGGTCACTCGTCGTCTTCATTTTTTTTCCGGCACTGCTGGGTGAAAGTGGTTTGATCGGCTGTGATCCGACTCTCAGGAGCTGCATCGCTGCAGAGTTTGGGTTTTCTGTCTGGGTGGAAATAAAAACAAAAAAAATGGCCTCTTGAGGTCAGAGGTCGTGTGCTCGTCTGCAGAGTTACAGATTTATGAGACGTGTTGGCTCGACTGTGATTCCATTGATGAAGGGAGAATCTATTTTTAGCTTTAGTTTGAAAAATGCTCGATAAGTTTTTGGGTTTTTTTGCCGTTTAATATCATTCTCTGCCCCCTCCCCCTCCCCCCCCCCTCCTCCTCCTCTGTGTGAATTCTCAAGAGCGATTTATCTGATGTCATGCTAACGGACGCCAGTGACCTTTTTTTCCTTTTCTATTGATCCGGGGGCCGTTTGCTGAGCAAGCATGCTCTTGGAGTTACAGCAGGTCCTCGTTTTCCTCTGAGCTAACCGAGGAGCCTGGGAGTTGTATGCTGTTGACCTGGATTTGAAACAAAAATAAAAAAAACCACAAAAACAACAAAGAATTCCTTTTGGAGACGTCCCTGTGTTTTTTGTTTTCTTTAAGGTGTCTGGTCAGATTCAGAATAAAGAGTCCTCCTTTGTTGTGTTTATATCTTCAGGGTCTCATGTTAGTGTTCGTTATCTGTCTCTAGTCCGTCTACAAACCCCCAGTTATGAGAAAAGTCCATCCTCTCCGTCTTCTGCCTGCTCCACTTTTCAGAAAATGTGTGCTGAAACAGGCAGTTTGGAGATTTTCCCTTCATGACATCACAAAGGGCAGTAGCCCCTCCCCCAGGTGGGTAACACTCCGACAGGATCAGAGTGGATTTAGAACAAGAAACTTCACACACATGTTTTGAGGAGATCTGAGAATTATTTAAATTGGTTAGAAAAATAAACACTGGAAACAAACGTGAACATTTTAAGAAATGGGAATCCAATGAAGAGATCCTAATTCTGCAGAATACAAAGATATTTCAGACTAAACTTTACCTACATTTTGCATCTCCCTCTGACTTATCTACTATATTCAATAGAAAACTTTGACATGGAAAAAAAAAACTAAAACACCTTCATATGGTGTCATTGGTTATTTAAATGATTGTGACTAAAATAAACACCAAGCAGACATTTTTAGAGTCACGTCAAGACCTCCAAACACCCTAAAGCTGTTTTCATACATGCACCATACAGAAGATTTCTAAACAGATTTCAGGACAGAAGACCGATGCTATGATAACCGTATGATTTTTGCCTTTATATCAACGATCCATTCACACAGTGAACAGGAAAACGATTATGGAGCAGCTTCATGACGTGCATATATCAGCATATCTGCTGCAAACTGCATATCTGCTGTTGGTGTTCACACATGCAACTCATCTGGAAAGCTATATGGAGTTTTTTTGTTGCATGTGTGAAAGCACCATATCCACATCGGTTTAGTAAATGTGATCACATGCACAGCACGCTACAAACGGACAAAACAACTTGTGTTTACGTACAAAGTTATACGGCTTTGTTTGTTTCTGTATTCAGAGTCTCTGACAGTCCGTGCACGTGTCGATAAGTCGATAAAGATGTCTTCTTTTTCTGGTTTTTAAGATATTAACACAGCAGAGCACACTCACAATTAAAACTCTTCAGGTGCATGACCACAAAAACTTTCAAGACAGGAGAAAAGTCCTTTAACGTCTTTCATTCTGGGTAAGGAGCAGCGTAGAAAGCTCTCCACTGAAACCATTTTTCA